AATGAAAATCATCCGAGCATACTTGGCCCTCACCAATTCATCATTGCCTATAAAATTATTAATACATTTACTGGGTGCTGGAACAAAGTTGTAAGTTGAGTAGATCTCTTTAAGAGAGCGGAAAGACTGTTCTAGATTCAAGGGGGACTGCTGAGCAAGCCGGAGAGCTGAGTTGAAGACATTACCTTTGGTCTTAACATGCCTACATCTTAAAATTAAATAGCACAACATCAAACATATCTAAATTGGAAAGATTCTACTTAGTAAATTACACAAGGCCTGATACGCACGGCGAGCACAGGTTGAATGCTGCTTATAATGCTCATTAAAAAAGTAGAGTTAGCCGAATAATTAGTGCTCTACGTTTCCAGGATCTCATTTCGGTGAAGTCACGCGTTCGATTCGTCACTAGGACATAATTCTTGCCTGCAATTAAAGCGTCAGGCTTACCTTCAGGGTGCGCGACAGGCAGGCTGAGAAACACCCCGTGCATCAAAATGAGTATATTCCAATAAAGTATATCGAGTAAAAGTTAGGGCCTCCCCCGGAAGCGACGACTCGAGTCCGACGGGTGCGAATAGTGGTCTAAGGCCACCGTCTAACAAAGAGCAGAGACAGGTAAGAAAGCTAGCTCTTCGAAGACAACTATCCGAAAACTCTGAAGCACTTTAGCTACCATCTTTGTCGGAACCCTCACGGGACGACATCGAGAATTGGCGGATCTCCTGAGAAGAAGTGGATATAGCCTGCGTACAGGAAACAAAATGGAGAGTGGAAAGTTACGCGATATCGGAGATGGCTATAAGCTTTTCTACAATGGCAGAAGCAGCAGTCGCAGTGGTGTAGGTAAGCTGTCTCAGAAAGCCTAAGAAGCAGGATTGCAGTAGTTTACCGATTAAATGATCGACTTATGAGCATAAAGATTGACAATAGTGGAAAATTCCTTCGATCACCGCTTACGCTCCGCAAACCGGATGCAAGGAGGACGAAAAGAGTTCTGGCAGGAGC